ATGGTGAGAATGTTCCATGGTGGTGCAATGCCTCCATAACATACCATTCAGAATTCACTGTAACTTAAAGATATTTTTACGAATTTCGTTGGTATTATGGAGAAAATCTCCTCCTTTACATGTTGATGCAGCCTTTCACCGTAAGACATTTGCAGTGAGGCTGAGCTTTTGACACAGATTACAAGTTTAAAATCGATGAGATAGCTGACTTTTTTAATAGTCCCCTCAAATCTTATTTTTAATTTTTTAGATGCTTTATTTGACAGGGTAGAATGTCGCCAAGTCTCGACGCACTCGCTCCTTGTCCGACACCCCGTCACCTCACTTGACGGGGGAGAGAGATGGATGTAACAGATATAACTAAAATAAAGTAGGGGCGCGCATAGTGCGAGGGAGGCGTGAAAAGATTATTGTGATGTTGGAATAACTGGGCGGAATTGTTTAAAGAGCGGTCGGAGCGGAGGGTTGGAAGGCGGGCGGGCGCGGCGCTGCAGGGGTGGCACGTCGCTCTGTCTCTCTCGCTCTCGGTCGCGGCGTGCCGCTCTGTCTCTCTCGCACTCGGTCGCAACGCGCGGCGTGTCGCTCCGTCTCCCTCGCACCCGGCCGCGGCCCCGTCGTTCCGTGTCAAGCTGACATTACTCGATTATTAATCAAGTTTGCGCTGCGCTCGTATTGAGGGCTTTGGAGGCCCGGGGCGCCCCGATGGCTGGCTGGATGGCTGGCTGGCGGCCCGGCGGGGCGGACGGGGCTGGCGACACGCGAAGTGCGCCGGCACGGAACGCGAGCTCCGACTCCAAATCAATCCCGACCCTGTACACTCCAAGAGTCGTCGCTCTGTCTCTCTCGCACCGATGCGGCACGCCCCATGAGTGCGAGAGGGACAGAGCGGCGAAAACGACTCTCGGAACCGGTCTGCTGGTAGTGGAACCATCCTCGCGAGGGTCAACTCAACGACTGCTGACCGATTCCGAGAGTCGTTTTCGTCGCTCTGACTCTCTCTCGCACTCACGGGCGTCCTCTATAGGTGCGAGAGAGACAGAGCGACGAAAACGACTCTCGGAATCAGTCTGCTGGGGCCTTGTAAACCTTGTTCGGCGCACCAATTTTTGTTCCGAATCGGGGATCCCTTCGCTCGCCCCGCCCTGGCGCGCTCGGCAGAGCCGTGGCGGCATTGTCCGGCAGTCAATGGGCGCGCGGCAGTGATTATGCTGACGCGGCCTGATTAAGCCAAGACGGAAGGGGTGAGGGAGCGCAGCGCAGCGCCGAGCATTATGGACCATAAGCTGGCATTCAGCCTGCCAGCGACCTGCACTGCCAAAAAAAGTCAAGTCGAATCGACTTACGTGTTTTTACAGATTTTCTTTTACCAGTTTACAGCCGCTTACACCCAATTGAACTTATTGCTTTTTTCTCAGGGTGCGCAAACTTAACCTATATTGACACTTTGGGCTCCTATATCTTGTAAATGGCTAGAGGAATAAGTTATGCACAGGACAACTTAAATTTAAAATTAAATATTGAATTTAAATTACTCGATGCATGCCTTTTTATCTGTAGCAGTTTACGAACTAAAACTACAAAAATTTCACCCTGTTGCTGTTTTTGGTTCTATTAACTAGATCTTGGGAAAGAGAAGAATTCATCGGGTGTCTTGGTCGAATGGATCGCAAAATATCAATGAAATGGTCCACGGCGAGATCGGTTCCAGGTTTCCGTAGGAACTCCCTGAAAATCGCCTATACTTTCACAATATGCTTCGTGGGAAAACCAGGAACCGTTTTGTGCAGTCGACTTGATTCAACACTTTTACAGTGTTGTTCGCTGCGAGCTGAGCTGTGTGTACTAACTACCGCACCCTTTTACTCTGGCCGGCTCAAAGTCTCACCGTGTTTTTCGGTTTCAGCGTTGTTTTAAAATTTCTTGTTTTCTCTTTTTTTACGCGCGCGCGTTGCGGCGGCTGGTGGCGCGGTTTTTGGCGCCGTCCAAAGAGCTGGCGGTGATGATGTGGGCGGCGAACGGCCCTCGCTGCTGCATATTTGATAATCCATTCCGCCAGTGGCGTGGCGTCGCCGTGGCGTGCTCCCGAAAGGGGTGGGGGATCCTCAAAACAGTCACCACCGCGTGGCGGTGGCGCGATGCGACCGGGCCGGGGCCGGGTGGATGGAACGGATAGAATAGGTAATGCTTATGGCGGAATCGATGCGCGCCGGGGATAGAGCGAGCGATAGAGCAGCGCGCCGAGGGGGGGGGGGGATAGAAATTAGACGTCGCTGCACCCTGCACTGGTTCACAGCTCCAGCCGCGTGCGTCGGCAATACCACGTTGCCCCGGACGGCGAAAGGGTTCCATGTTTGCTTTGCGGATAACGCCGTGTCCGATGCACTGGCATTATGCTCTTTGCTGTCTCTCTCGCACTCGCGGGGCGGCCCGTGGCGGTGCGAGAGAGAGAGAGAGAGAGAGAGAGAGAGAGAGAGAGAGAGAGAGAGAGAGAGAGAGAGAGCGTCGTGGCCTCTGTCGTGGCCGTCAGCGCCTCCCCTCCGCGTCGAGGCACTGCCGCGTGACCCCGCCGACCGCCAAGGCTGGCGCGGCGCTAAAACAACATAAATCATAACACGGCCGGCACGGGGCGCGTGGCGCTGGAGTGTGTACAGTGTACACGGCCTCCACAGTGCAGTGGTGACACGGCGCCGCGATTACACCGCAATCAGATCGGCCGGGCCGGGGCGGGGCGGGGTGCCGCAGCACAGTGGGCCAGAAGACCGGAGGAGACGGTCAAAATCCCGGACGCGTTCTGAGCTCCAGAGTCGGTAAATGGGACTCGAACCAAGCGTGTGACCCCACCAATGGGTTGCTCTCCGAACGAGGAATCCATTGGTGGGGTCACACGTTTGATTGTAGTCCTATTTAGCGACTCTGGAGCTCATGACCCGTCGGGAGTTTTGGCCGCCTCAACCGGTCTTTTGGCAGCTCGGAGCCCCGCTGCGACTGACGTTCAGTGGACCACTCGAAATTTAGCGCCACACCCCCACTCCAATCCCGAACCTGGATCGTGGAATATGATTGGTCATTTGGTGGCGCTAATGGCTGGTCTAGCTGCGCCACTGCTTGCACTGCTCGGGCGGCGCTGGCGTGGCTGCCCTGGCTCCTTTCCCCCCTTTTTTTGGCACGGCTTCGTGGATCCGATAAGCCTAACTGAAGCGCCCCGTACGGCCGCAGCGGCGGCGCGTCGCCACGCGACCCATTTCACGGCCTGCTTGATGTGCATCTGTGTGCAAACGGCGGCGCCCCGCCCCGCCCTCCATAACGGTGGCTTATTGTCGCGTCATATCTGATCCAAGGGCGTCGCGGCGTCGCGGAGGTGTGTCGTCGTCGTCGTCGTCGTCGTCGTCTTTGTCCCCCGCGCGTCGAACCCGGTCGCTCTGTCTCTCTCGCACTCGCGGGGCGTCCCGTAAGGGTGCGAGAGAGACAGAGCGAGCACGCGTTTGGCTTGAATTATGGCGAGATGCGATCGCCCTGCGCTGGCGACGTCGTCGCGGCGCGCGTCCAGAAATAGGTGTCGATTTGTGGCACCCCCGCCTCGGTGCCACCCCTTCGTGCACCCTCAGTCCATCACGAGACTGGAAAAGTTAATGACATTTTTCGTCCGGTTTCGTGTCGTTATGCTCGTGAACGCTCACTCCTAGAGGCGTTTTGAGCTGCAGAGTCGCTAACTGTGACCCGAATCGAACGTGTGAACCCACCAATGGATTCCTCGTTCGGAGAGCAATCCATTGGTGGGGTCACACGTTCGATTCGGGCCATATTTAGCGACTCTGGAGCTCAAAACGCGTCTAGGATTTCGATCGCCTTCACCGGTCTTCTGGCCCACTGTGCCTCCTCCTCCTCTCGCCTCCATCTCCTCCCCGCCCTCCGTTTAGCTCTATAGTAACGGAAAGATGAGCGGCAAAAACATTCCGAGATCGCCCACTCGTGAAAACGGAACCAACGGAACCAAAACAAAACGCCCCTCTTTGCGCGGCGTGCGTGCGTTGGCGGGTGAAGGCGCGGCGTGCGCGTGGCGTGCGCGGCACGTGCGTGGGCGGGGCGTTATGAAGATAAGAGGCGGGGCCTCGCTCTGTCTCTCTCGCACCCCTCCGAGCCGCCCCGCGAGTGCGAGAGAGAGGGAGCGACGCGAGGCGACGGCAGGCCGGGAGGGGCGGTTATGAAGATAAAGGAGCGAGGGAGGCAGAGTTATGAAGATAAGAAAGTTTGATGCCGCGCGCCAGCCAATCCCTCGGCGGGGGTGTGGCGGCCGCGATGGGGCGGGGCGCGGCCACACTGATAGGGAACGCTGCGCGATATTGCTTTGCTCTTCTTTTCTTTTTGATATTTTTTTTCGGGAACAGGTGCTTTGTAACCCCGTCCTCTTCCTCGCAAGGACTAGGGCGGACTAGGGTTGTCCAGGACGCTCAGCGATTTCGTCGCTGTCTCTCTCGCACTCATGGGCGTCCCGTTTGTGTGTGAGAGGGACAGAGCCGAGCAGAGCGACATAGGCAACACCTTTCCGAAGCCTGATCGTGACCTACTCGAACACTCGAACCAAACGTATGACCCCACCAATGGGTTCCTCGTTCGGAGAGCAATCCATTGGTGGGGTCACACGTTCGGTTCGAGTCCCATTTAGCGACTGGAGCTCGAAACGCGTCCGGGATTTTTTCAGCCTCCACCGGTCTTCTGGCCCACTGTGCGCACAACTCGAGGAAATCATGAGCACACTGGTAAAACAAAGGCATAAAAATTACGCCCTTTAGGGCATAAATACTCTTTTACGCCCTTCCCAAGGGCGTAAATGGTATAGGAATTTCAAGCAAAATTTTAATGCCCTTCCCAAAGGAATTAACGATTTATGCCCTTTAAATCGTTTACGCCCTTAAAGGGCATAATTTTAATGCCTTTGCTTCATCAGTGCATTTGTTTGATAATCCCCCGGAGCTGTTCTCACTGACGCCCCTCCGTTCCAGGACGTGCCGCGGCGTCGCCATGTCGGCGAGTGGCGACGTGTCCGACGACGGCGAGGTGTCGCTGACGACGTCGGACTCGTCCTTCGGCACCTCCTCGTCCAACCCGACGCCCGACAGGCCGACCTCCGCCAGGGCGACCACCCGACTGCCTGCCGCCTACTCTGTGAATTTGAACAGAGACCCGGACGTGTGGCGTTTCGACGAGGCTTGCCGCGCTCGCCGGGCTGCTCGCCGGAACCAGAAGGCGAATGGCAGAAGCAGGTACGCCTCGGTTCGATCAGCTGTTTCCGTTTGTTTCAACTGTGATGGTAAAAGTATAGCGTAGTTCTACGCTCCATCCATACAAGCATAGAACTATGCTTGAAGACCTCCCGCGCTTGTGCAAGCGCACAACTTCGCTTCAAAGCACTTCCCGTCATGCATTTTAGATGGGAGGAGAAGAGCGCACGAGCTCTGCAGACTGATTCCGAGAGTCGTTTTCGTCGCTCTGTCTCTCTCGCACCTGTGAGGACGCCCCATGAGTGCGAGAGAGACAGAGCGACGAAAACGACCCTCGGAATCAGGCTGCTGGTACGCTTCAAGAAGGGCGTACATACCGTATGCTTCACGAATAGCCACTAGACTTGATTCCGAGAGTCGTGTCCATCGCTGTCTCTCTCGCACCTAAACGGGACGCCCCATGAGTGCGAGAGGGACAGAGCGATGTAAATGACTCTCGCAATCAGTGTGCTGACCTTGATGCTGATGCCACGCCGACGGTTTCCAGGACTGTGCCCACGCCGGCGAACTTGGTCCCCATCCCTACCAGTGACGTGCCAGCCCAGCGCAGGCCGGCGGACCTCCGGATGCTGCTGAACCAGAAGCGGGGCTGCGGCAGCGCCGCGGGCAGCGCCGCGGGCAGCGCGTCGTTCGAACACGACGTGGAGGACGGCGGCGGCGTCCCGGTAAAGCTTGCTGTCGTCTTCGTCGCTCCGTCTCTCTCGCACTCGTTACACAGTGGGCCAGAAGACCTGTGGAGGCGGCCAAAATTCTAGACGCGTTTTGAGTTCCGGAGTCGCTACACAGGACTCGAACCGAACTTGTGACCCCACCAATGGGTTCCTCGTTCGGAGAGCAATCCATTGGTGGGGTCACACGTTCGGTTCGAGTCCCATTTAGCGACTCGTCCGGAATTTGGACCACCCGTCGGTCCTCTGACCCACTGTGCAGAAGAACGCCCCTTGAGTGCGATTTAGAGAGCCAGCCTGTCTGTAGCTTTCAGCCGCCACTGGCCGCCACAGCTGCTTTAACGCTTCGTCTCGTGTTGCCGCAGGTGGAAGTCTACGACGACCGGGAAGTGGTGCTGTGCGATGACCGGGAGGACATCCAGGTGGTGGTGCACCGGCAGCGGGAGACCCGCGACCACCGCCAGCACCGCGATGACGGCATGCGCCGCGAACGCCAGGATGACAGCCTCCGCGGACGGCAGCAGGACCGCCTGCCCGCCGACCGCCACCGCGCCGCCTACTGTGCGTGCGACCAGCAGGACGAGGAGCAGCGGCAGGTGTGCGCCGTCAGCAGCAGCGCGCCGCCCGAGCGCCGCGACAGCTTCAGCTCCACGAGCTCCGTGGAGGTGCTGGAGTACGTGAAGCCGCCTCCCGAGGTCGTGGACCTGTCCAGCGACTCGGAGTGCTCGACCAAGTCCCTCGCCGCCGCCGACGACGACGACGACTCCGAGACCGAGTTCGACGATGATGAGTGCGAGTTTGAGTCCGAGGAAGGCACAGTGGACCTGGAGGACGAGCCGACGCCGACCACCACACCCTCAGAGTGCCCCCTCCAGGACACCACCGCGAAGACTGCGTCCCCCGACACCGAGGAGGCCACTGCCGGGAAGAACATGGCCACGCCGCCGGCAGCCCCCGTGTCCGCTCTCCAGGACGGCGCTGCCGAGACTGCGTCCACCGCCACCGAGGAGGCCGTCGACTCGGGGCCCTCGCTGAACAGCTCCGCCGAGGACGTGGACGCCGCAGTGGCTGGGACTGGTGACTCGGAAGCCAGTGTCGCGGTGGAGGCTGCCTCCCATGGTAGCTCAGCCACTGTGTTAGCTGGTGACTCGCAGGCCAGTGCCGCGCAGCCTGCTTCTCCTTCACTCACTTTCAAGCTCGACTCCATGGTGGAGGGTGCCTCCCATGGTAGCTCAGCTACCATGGCAGCTGGTGACTCGCAGGCCAGTGCCGCGCAGCCTGCTTCTCCTTCACTCACTTTCAAGCTCGACTCCATGGTGGAGGGTGCCTCCCATGGTAGCTCAGCTACAGTGTCAGCTGGTGACTCGCAGGCCAGTGCCGCGCAGCCTGCTTCTCCTTCACTCACTCTCCAGCTCGACTCCATGGTGGAGGCTCCGCCTGGTAGCCCAGCCACAGTGGTAGCTGGTGACTCGCAGGCCAGTGCCGCGCAGCCTGCTTCTCCTTCACTCACTCTCAAGCTCGACTCCATGGTGGAGGGTGCCTCCCATGGTAGCTCAGCCACTGTGGTAGCTGGTGATGGTGACTCGCAGGCCAGTGCCGCGCAGCCTGCTTCTCCTTCGCTCACTCTCGAGCTCGATTCCATGGTGGTGGGTGCCTCCCATGGTAGCTCAGTCACAGTGGTAGCTGGTGACTCGCAGGCCAGTGCCGCGCAGCCTGCTTCTCCTTCACTCACTCTCCAGCTCGACTCCATGGTGGAGGCTCCGCCTGGTAGCCCAGCCACAGTGGCAGCTGGTGACTCGAAAACCAGTGTGGCGGAGGGAGCATCTTCTCCTGTGGCCCCCAAGCTTGACCGCATGGTGGAAGCTGTGTCTTCTCCAGGAACTCCTCAAATGGCTTCTACTCCTGCAAGGTTAGTTCGCGTGCAAAGTAACTAACTGGTTCACCCATAAATTATTTACAATTTTGTCGCAAGTTTTTTAAAACTACCAAGTCTTGTTTAAAGGCTTTCTTTGTTGCTAATCGTATGTTTTGTGCATCTTTTCCGCAAACAGTGCCAGTTTTTCCAACTTCTGGCGGCCTTGGGGTTCACCCGCACCCCGGTCTCGGACCGAAGAGGCCCCAACAATTGTTGAGGCACCGGTGAAAAAGAAGAAGAAATTGTCACGGAAGTCTCGGGAGATGGGTGTGAAGGAGGAGCCGACGAAGAAGAAATTGTCACGGAAGTCTCGGAAGAAGGGTGTGAAGAAGGAGGAGCCGACGAGCCCGCTCCTGCTGCCGATCATGTCCGCTGCCAGCCTCATACCGGTCATGAAGCTGAAGAGAGAGCGGCTGCTGCTGGAGACGCTGGAGGCGGACCAGGAGCCTCGGCAACCCGCCGTGCAGCCGGGCCAGGCCACTGTCAGGCCCAAGCCGATGCCGGCCAGCAAGCGGCGTGCACTGGAGGGCCTTGCACTGGCAGGCGAGCCTTCAGCCTGCCTGTCGGCCTCCAAGAGGTGTCGCCCGGGTGCGGCTGATGCTCCCAGCGCCGAGCCCAGCACGCGCGCCGCGAAGAGCCCAGTCTGCGCCCCGAGGCCAGCCCTGCTGAAGACGCCGGAGCCAGGGGAGCAGGCCTCGTCCTCCAGGACGCCGATGATGGAGCCAGTGCCGCGCCCTGCCGGCCGGCCCTTCTTGCTGCCGACGCCGGCCTTGCCGGCCTTGCTCAGGACGCCCTCGCCGTGCGGCCGGAGCACACTGCAAGGCCAGCCACGCGCCTGCAGCATGGACGCGGACTCGTCGTCGCCGGGGTCGTCGGGCCCGCCACGGCACCGCCGGAGGTCCGCGGCAGCCTCCTCCAGCATGGGCGGCAGGATGGCGAGCAGGGATGTATGGCAAGCCAACGCGGCGCGGGGACCAGGTAAGCAAGGAGAATCTGACCAGGGCACAGTGGGCCAGAAGACCGGTGGAGGGGGCCTAAACTGTAGACGCTTTTGAGCTCCACAGTCGCTAAATGGGACTCGAACCGAACGTGTGACCCCACCCGTGGATTGCTCTCTGAACGAGGGATCCACTGGTGGGCTCACACGCTTGGTTTGCGTTCCGTCTAGCGACTCTGGGCTCAAAAGCTTCGGCCGCCTCCCCGGGCCTTTAGCCCACTGTGCAGGGACAGCTCTAGAATTGTTTTTCGGAGGGACACCTGCCCCGAGGTGGGTGTCTGACTCCCTTGGCATAGACACTGGATGGAATGGAAAGGGTTGCAAATTTAAGAGAAACTTTCCGTGCTCCTCACCTTATCATATTTTAGCGACTGCTTGACCATCAATAATGTGCCGATTTTGTACTGACAGTCCGAAATCAAACTGTGAAATATAATCCTGCTTTCAGGTTTTTATTTTAGTCCTTTAAGGTTTTATGCCACATGTGTTTTCTTTATTTTTGCAGGAGAAGTAATAAATCGTTATATTTATCCTTGGGCTTCCGCTCCAACCCCTCCTTCGCCAGCAACGACGACTGCCAACCAACCAGGCCTACCAAACCCTGCCTTTGGTGGCCTTGAAAGTAAGTGTTCACTTTTTGTGTCCATTTTAAACAGTATTTTCATTCAAAATAATTTATTTTTTTCCGAACTATTGCAGATGCGCTATTGCGGAACCCTGCTGCCAGATTTATGAATCCTTTCTCAAGGAAAGCTCATAACCCATTCCATTGAAAATGTTCGAGTACTTATTTTGTCTCTCTCTGATTTTTTTTTACCTGTGATCAGTATCTAATCAATACTGACTGAAAATTGTTCGAGTCCTTTTTTTTTTGTCTAACAAATTAAGCTTAATCCTGAAGATTGTTTTCACTCAATCCAGGAATTGAATCTTTGAATTATAGAGCATTTATTTTTCACTGACTTGCATTGTCCTCATTTCCCTTCTCTTTTTCTGTAAATGTTTTCATCCTGCAGCGTCTGGGAGGGGATCCTGCATGTGCCCGTTTATGGCTTTGAGTTTTGCTTCGCCTCACCGTGGGGAGGGCTCTCTGGGCCCTGTTCGTCGGCATGGCAGGCCAGGACCAGCAGACTGATTCCGAGAGCCGTTTTCGTCGCTCTGTCTCTCTCACACTCATGGGGCGTCCCGATTCTGTGCGAGAGAGACAGAGCGACGAAAACGACTCTCGGAATCAGTCTGCAGGCCGCTTCCCCGGCGGGGTATTCTGCATACCAATTTCTGGCAGCACGCGTCGGCCGATTCGATACACTGTCGCGCGTGCACTGCGAAATGGAGCGTGATGCACGGCCGTGAGACCGCGCCACCCTACCTCCGCACAGTGGGCCAGAAGACCGGTGGAGGCGGCCAAAACTCTTGACGCGTTTCGAGCTCCAGAGTAGCTAGGACTCGAACCGAACGTGTGACCCCACCAATGGATTGCTCTCCTAACGAGGAATCCATTGGTGGGGTCACACGTTTGGTTCGAGTCCTCTTTAGCGACTCCGGAGCTCAAAACGCGTCTACACTCTAAATGTAGGGTGTCCAGAAACTGGGCGCCTTTGTCGCCCGCCCCACTTTTTAGGGTGCCAAATGTCGCCCAGTTTCTGGGCACCTTTGTCGCCCAGTCTAGGGGTGGACAATCCAGAAAGGAACCTGCCTTCACCAATGGCTCAGCAGCGACTAAGGTGCCAAAGGTGCCGAGAATCTGGGCACCTTAGTCACCCAGGATCTAGACACCTGTGCATCCTCTACCATGGGAGAGGGCCGGTTACTGTATGATTTGTCCACCCCGAGACTGGGTGACAAAGGTGCCCAGAAACTGGGCGACATTTGGCACCCTAAAAAGTGGGGCGGGCGACAAAGGCGCCCAGTTGCTGGGCACCCTATATTTAGAGTGTAGAGTTCTGGCCGCCTCCGCCAGTCTTCTGGCCCACGGTGGCACGGTTCAGCCCCTGCTGGCTCTACCACCCGCCGCGCCGCAGCGCACCGAAGTGAGAGGGGTTGCCTACCCCGGCGCCGTCCGGCCGCGCAGCGGGTTGCCTATGCTCGGCTCTGCGGGCGCACTGGCCGAACCCGAAATCAGTGTTGCAACCCAAGGAGGCGGAAACCCCCACGATGTCTGGAAAGGGTTGCCAACCTCAGCCTTGCCTACCAGGCTGCGCTTTCGCTCCCGAAAAGTTGCCGGGCTGTCTAGAATGCAAGCTGAGGCTGGCAACCTTTTCGACTCGGTAGGATCGTGGGAGTTTTCGCGCACTTGCATGGCAGCGCTGACCGAAGTAAAGCTCCGTTTGCAAGCAAACAGTACCTAGCGACTAATTTCTAGCAAAAGAAGACGAAACCGTGGAAGACCGACATGTCTGCGAGGCGAGGCGTCCTGAAATGAGGAAGGTGGTTCAGGGAGAGCTGCCGCGTGGGCGTTTTAAGACCCCCACCCCGTCGAGCACCGCGCCACCAGCCGCGTGTCGTGCTCTCTCTGTCTCTCTCTCTCTCTCTCTCTCTCTCTCTCTCTCTCTCTCTCTCTCTCTCTCTCTCTCTCCGTTCTACCCGCTTTGCAGAGCGCGAATATGTGCTGTTTAGTTTGAAATTTGAACCGCGCGCGCGCAAAGCTGATTAAACATGGCGAAACTGAAATAGTAAAGTCCCGAGAAGGAACTCGGCACACACGCTGGCAAAGGCACACACACACACACACACACACACACATTCGCTCACACAAGCAAGCACACACACACACGCTACCTTCTTCATCGTCGCGAGTCCTCTGCCGCGCCCTGCTCAACTTCGGGGCGCCAAGTCGCGACCGTCTCTCTCACTCTCTCTCTCTCTCTCTCTCTCTCCTCTCTCTCTCTCTCTCTCTCTCTCTCTCTCTCTCGCGGCGCCGCGTCCGCGGGTGCGACAAGGACGGGTTGCTTTGGCTGCGCGTTTTTCCGCACGCGTCGGCATCATTGCGCATTCCGCCCCCACCGCGCAAACGCACACATCTCATTTGCCTAAACCTCGCGACGCGAAACGGCAGCGCGGCAACACGACGCGGCCAGACAGAGAGAGAGAGAGAGAGAGAGAGAGAGAGAGAGAGAGAGAGAGTCGCTATGCGCTGCTGCCATATTAATTAACCAGCGGGGAGGAGTCTTCAAAATCTGGAGAAAGAGACGGAGACGGGGCTGGAGGAACTGCAAGAAGGGCATCCCGAACCCGCCGCGCTGCGCGCCCATCTTGTAGCGCAAGTCCCGGGTTCGAATACCAGCCTTACTTTTTTTTCACACCGTGAGCGCGAGGTCCATGAGCTATACCTGCTCAGTTTTGCGTTTAGGTTCAAATACCAGCTCAAAGGATTTTTTAACCGCGGGATAGCGTTTAAATACTTGTGTTTTGTTTTTGTGTTTGTTTTTGTCTGTTTGGTTGGCACTTCGTGTGTCGTCGCTCGGTCCATTCATCTCTGGCGGTAATCCCGTCCATACTCAAGGCGCCGTCGTAATGGAAACGAATGACGCCAAGTTCGGCACGGCTCGGCTCTGCCCGGACTGATTTGACAATCAGTCCCTGCACTGGAAGCACTGGCACACTGGAAGCAACAACACGCTTATATCGTGCTGATCCTGATTGATGCAGGCTGCCTGCTCGGTCTGCCCGGCCCGCCCGGTTGGTGGCGGAATCGCCAATCCCGAATCGCCAATTCCAAATCTGCTGCTCTGCCTCCATGCTCGATTTGCCTGCGTTGGTTGGTCGGAGGGGCTCTGCGTTCATTAGGCTAGACGGGCTGGCTGGCTGCGACTGACTCCCGCCGCGAGGCTGAGACAACGCACAGTGGGCCAGAAGACCGGTGGAGGCGGTCAAAATCCCAGACGCGTTTTGAGCTCCATAGTCGCTAAACAGGACTCGAACCGAACGTGTGACCCCACCAATGGATTGCTCTCCGAACGAGGAATCCATTGGTGGGGTCACACGTTCGGTTCGAGTAGGTCACGATCAGGCTTCGGAAAGGTGGAACTCGAACCGAACGTGTGACCCCACCAATGGATTCCTCGTTCGGAGAGCAATCCATTGGCGGGGTCACACGTTCGGTTCGAGTTCCATTTGGTGACTCTGGAGCTCAAAACGCGTCTAGAGTTTTGACCGGCCCCGCTGGTCTTCTGGCCCACTGTGCCGCGGTGAGGGCAGTCATACAAATGGCTCGCTGCTGCAGTCCGTCCGCGGCGCCAGACGGCCCAACGGCCCGCGGCATGTCCGGCCCGGGGCGCAGGCCAGCACCAGCACACTGAGAGTCGTTCTCGTCGCTCCGTCCCTCTCGCACTCGTGGCGCGTACCGTACAGGTGCGAGAGACACAGAGCGACGAAAGCGACTCTCGGAATCAGTCTGCCGGCGCCCTGGCGCAGTCCGTCACACCTCCACATTTTATCGCCACTCACCAACTGTAATGACCATGCGGTTCTCCACACGTGTGGCTTGTCTCCCAAACGAAAGCCACGCCGTTCACGTGTCGTCTGGGCGTCAGCGGCAAGGAGAAAAATGAGAAGAAGTAGAACAAGAAGAAGAACAAGAAGAAGAACAAGAAGAAGAAGAAGAAGAAGAAGAAGAAGAAGAAGAAGAAGAAGAAGAAGAAGAAAGAAGAAGAAGAAAGAAGAAAGAAGAAGAAAGAAGAAGAAGAAGAAAGAAGAAGAAGAAGAAGGAAGAAGAAAGAAGAAGAAGAAGAAGAAAGAAGAAGAAGAAGAAGAAAGAAGAAGAAAGAAGAAGAAGAGAAGAAGAAGAGAAGAAGAAGAAGAAGAAGAAGAAGAAGAAGCAAGGGAAAAGAAGAAGAAAATCATCGCGTCTTGGTATTTGAACTCGCGTCGCGCCATTTTCAGTACGGTTACCAATCGGCGAACGAATTGCGGAGGCAGCAGCGGCAGGAAGTTCCCTCCCAAATTATCAAATCAAAATGGAACAACGATGGCCAGGCGAAGGACGTCCATAAAATCAGAGCGATGGCAGCCTCGCCAAGCAGAGCAGATGTCTGGGGGGAAATTATAAGAAAGGGGGCCCTTCTGCGTATCGGGTATAAATCGAACACGCACGCACACACACGAGACACTCATTGTCACGTGTGCGTCTCACTCCACACACACACACACACACACACAGGCTCCTTCTGGGTAGCGCACACGCGCCGCTTAATCAGCCCCTCCTCGCTGAATCGAGATAAATGATTGACATATTTCTGCCTCGAAAATGACCGGAATGGGTCATAACAAAAAATGACGGCGACGTCGTCGTCCGTCGTCGGTGCGTCTCTGTTAGCAGAAAGAGCTCCTCCACTGGTTCTTTACGACTGTCGCCGCGTCGCAGCGGGGCCTCTGCCTCCACGGCGCACAGTGGGCCAGAAGACCGGTGGAGGCTGCGAAACCTCCAGACGCGTTCTGAGCTCCAGAGTCGCTAAACGGGACTCGAATCGGACGTATGACCCCACCAATGGATTCCTAGTTCGGAGAGCAATCCATTGGTGGGGTCACACGTTCGATTCGAGTCCCGTTTAGCGACTCTGGAGCCCAGAACGCGTCTGGAGGTTTCGCCGCCTCCACGGTCTTCTGGCCCACTGTGCGGCGGCGCTGCGGAGCGGAAGAAGATGTCACGGCGAAATACCCAGAACCGATGGCAGCGGCCATGCAGCAGCGCAGCGGACGATGAGGAGAGTTTGCAGCACTCGTTCATTAGCACCGGCTTTATTAGTTCATTAATAAGACGAAATTAACTCAAGCAAAACTGAAAAATAAAAGTTGATTGCGGAACCCGGACTGTGAACTTGATCTGGCATCAGGAGAAGAATGGGTTCTCCATCGACTCTGTCGCTTTCCCAGGTAAGTTACGAAGTCGGCTGCCCCTCAGAGAATTTTCACTTTATTATGAAGAATCTTCACTGTACGACTTTTGGAGAGTGGACATCCATGT